GCCGCATCTCGCAGGCGCCGTGGCTGCCGCCGAGAGCTGAGCCCAGGCGAGGCATGCTTTTTCCCTGCTCGGTCCTCAGGACGGGAGTATGTGGGCAGCACCCCCACTGCGAAGAGTCTCCATCGTGCGGGGGGCGGGTCCCCCTCCGACTGCCCCCCAAGCAGAGAGGCAGGACCGGGAGCCAGTCACGGGGCGGGGTGAGAAGGGCAGCCAGTGGTGGGGGGGCCCTGGCAGGCAGTGGGGCCTGGGGAACAGAGACGGGTGCCCAAAGCCGCCGCATCCTGCGAGGCCTGTGGGCTCAGGAGGAAGCAAATGACAGTCAGGTGGCGGCCGGGCGAGTCACGGCCGGAAGGAGGGTTAGCCGGGCCGTGACTCACGCTGTGTGCTCAGGTCCGCCAGCTCCATCCTGAGGACCGTGTAAGGAACCAGGCCCCTCGCGGCCGGCAGCGCCCGACCCTCGCCCACTCAGTCCCCCTCCCCGTCTCAGCAGAGAATTTCCTTCCACTCACTTTCCTAACGACCCGCGGGAGTCCGCCAGTGACCCCGAGGGCTGACTCAGCGTGTTCACGGGTTGTGCTACCCTCACAATCGCTGTAGATTCAGGCAGGAAACAGGCCCAGAGAGGTACCGTGACTTCCATGTCACACAGCCAGTCCACCTGTGAGCCTGGGGGGCCACCTACGGTGAGCCTCGATGCCGTGTTGTTGCAAGAAGGCACTTATTGGGCACCTACTGCATACGGAGCAGTGGCCTGGCTGCTGAGGGCCGGGTGGGAAGAAAAGGCAACAGAAACAAACGGGAGATGGGTTCTCATCCCTGCGGGGCTCACGTGGGAAAAGGCCGCCCCTCGACTACGTGTCGCACGCACAGTGGGGACTCGAGAAGGTTCGATTCAGCCATGTGACTGAGCCCCTCGGTGCCCCTCAGCGACTGCTCGGGGCAGGGGAAAGAGCTGAGGCAGGCCTGGCCCTGCTCTCAGGGAGCTTCCCTGAGTGTCCCAGGGCGAGAGGGTGCGAGGGTGTTGGGGGTAATCCAGGAGGGCTCCCTGGAGGAGGCCTGGCAGGTTCTGTCTTCAGTGGTTCCCATCAGCTCCTCTGACAAGACAGTTGCAGAAAGGAGAGGCCCATCCCCCACAGACGGCTCAGCTCAGAGAGAGGGAGCGTGCAGGCTGCCAACTCCTCCGCCTCCCACGCCCCTCCAGGGATGTGCTCAAACAGGCCCTGCCAGTGTGTTCTCGCTCCCCGTGCTGCGGGGCCGGTGCTGGAGGGCAGGTGCCGGGGAGGGCTTGTATCCGTGGATGCAGGGTAGGCAAGGTGCTTCTAGTGTGTGTGCGCGGGGGTGGGTGCAGGCCCCGCCCTCAGCAAGGTGACCCTTTCGGACCTTCTTCCTCCCACGGAGGGGAGAGCAGAGGCAGGGTCGCCTCCTGGGCCCTTTCCCCACCCTGACTGTTCCCTGTCAGTGGGGACTCCCGCCCGGGGCCGCCGCCTGCCTCCGGGCGCTGCCTTCTGCTCAGGAGGCTCTCCGTGTCCTGCGTGGCAGCCTCCTGCGCTCGTCCGGCCGACAGGTCCTGATCGTGGTGACTGTCACACCCCACCTGCCGGGCGGATGTGCCGGCCAGTGCCTCCCGGACAGCGGCAAGGCTCGGAAAGGCCCCGTGCTCTCGGGGAGTCGGGACAGTAGGGCCCGCCCCAGACACGGTGCCTCTCGGAGGGAAACGTCCTGGGCTCCACTGTGGAGGCAGGTCCTCCGGGG